GGCATACATATACGCTACATAATGCAACAAACATTTGCTTACATATCCACTATAAGATCATGTGATTTTATTTGTTTTATAGGTTAGAATTGCCATCTTTTATTGTTTAATTTTCAGTTAGCACAGGCAAGTGGTAGGCACGATGGACATTGTGGTCAAAATCAACTTAGCAGGATGGATGCTTGAATGTCTAGTAAAACATTGGTTGGCGGGATGCCACCTAAAAGGGCCCAGGAAGAATTGTCATTGGACAAGGCGCTGCTCATCGGACACATTCATCATGATACCAACTCAATCTCTTTGGGTCCAGGGGATTTGACAAAGTCTTTGCGACTCTGGAAGACAGTGTAAAGAGGGCACCACAGCTACAGAGGCAGCTTCACCCCAGGATGAACACTGATATCGACATGGAAGAGTACCAGTGTGTGATAAAGCTCAATTTAGCTAACGCTGAAGAAAATGAATGACCAAATATATCACCTATTTGTTTTGTTAGACAAGGACTTTTACTTTTATGCTACAGGCACCTTTAAGGGATCAGTGGCTTATACTGAGGTGCATTCTTTGGTTGGAAAAATACGGTTACATCACAAGGGGGATACAGAAAATCTCCCACCTGGTTGAGTTTCAACATATTGCATGGGTCACCCACAGTTTGAGGTCCTATTACAAGGGCTGCCGCAAGGTGTTGAGACACAATACAGGACTGACATTCCCACCTAAAATGATGTCAAAAGGAGGATTGTTAGAATTGGGCTATAGTTGTTCACTTTAGCATTGTATGCTCTAATATAATCCATGTAAATGACTGATTATTTATTACTTTTGGAACAATACTTTTGTGTTAAACTCTCTGGCTGTGCCCACATATGCTCTTTCCTCTCTCTGTTGGATGTCTTTAGGTCAACACACACACACTTTGTTACCACATTCCTATGTCGTCTGCATGAATTAGGACCTGGCCTGTTCATGTCAGAAGTAACTGGCCAATAGAACTTTGTTGTGTCCAGTCCTCCTTTTGAAGGGACAGACCCAGCTGGGAAGAAAATTATCCTTCACACCCGGATTTCGGGGCTCTTGATGACTGAGACCCTCAGGGAGGTTTATCTGTGAGAGCCCAATGCTGATATACTTTACCTGTGACCCAATAAATTTCATTTTTGTACTCTTGATCTACTCTGGTTTATTCTCAGGTTTCCAACTAAAGAATCGGGCTAACATCTGTCAGAATCCTGCATGTTCCAAACCCCCTCCCATGCTCTCAGATCCTCATCTGCTTTACACTTTTCTGTCCCTTCCGCCTGTCTCACCACTATTGGGAGCAGAGCATTCAGCCACTCTGCCCCCCGCCTCTGGAACTCTATACCACCCTACTTAGAAACAATAACTAGGTTCCCCATTTCAAATCACAACTCAAAACTAATCTATGCACGGTGACCTTGAGTGTCCAGAAGGGCGCCTTCTAAATAAAATGTTATTACTATTGTAATATGAGAGATATCATCTTTCCTTCTTGACATTGAGCCAACACCCAAATGCTGCAGATAAGCAAACTGCAACTACTGCTTTTATAGCAGTGTTCAAACTTATTAATGATCAAAGTGTATATGATATAATCATATTCCATATAAAACAATATAATACACATAATTTAAATATCTTTATATGTCTTTTTTTTGTTATTAGGGAAACTACAGCAAGGAATTAAAAGTCAAAAGTGGCATTTATTTCCTGCCCAAATTCAATTGCAAAAAAATTTTCCACTCACTTCCCTCAAGGAAACAAGGGCCCTTTAGATAAACTATATTCCACTGTAAAAACTAAACTAAAAAGTATGCAATTTCAACAATTACTTTTCATCATACTGTTGAACGAACTAAGTATACAGCTTGAACTTTATAGGACGACATTGTAATTAATCATCAATTCAAATTTTGCCTAAGCAGTAGCTAATGCCATCCATCCATCCATCCATCCATTTTTTCCACCACTTATCCGGGGTAGGGTCGAGGGGGCAGCAGCCGAAGCACGGAAACTCAGACTTCCCTCTCCCCTGCCACTTCTGCCAGCTTCTCCGGGGGAGAACGCCTTTTCCAAGTCCACAAAACATATGTGGACTGGTTGAGCGAACCCAATGCACCCTCCAGGACCCCGCTGAGGGTATAGAGCTGGTCCAGCGTTCCACGGCCAGGACAAAAAACACGCTGTTCCTCCTGAATGCGAGATTCGACTATCCGAAGGACCCTCCTCTCCAGAACCGCCGAAAAGACCTTCCCAGGGAGGCTTAAGAGCGTGATCTCCCTGTAGTTGGCATCCCCATAACATCCAGAGCCTTGAGGAACTTTGCCTTGCCACCAAAGAGTTTTTTGACCTCTTCAGTGACTTCAACCCCGGAGATTGGAGAGCCCAAATACAGATCCCCAGGCTCTGCCCCTCCAATGGAGGACGCGCCAGTGGGATTGAGGAGGTCTTCGAAGTACTCCGCCTACCGACCCACAACGTCACGAGTTGAGGTCAACAGCACACCACCCCCACCGTAAACAGTGTTGGTGGAGCACGGTGGAAGTCTTCTTCCATGGCCTCCCACACCCGAGTTTTTGCCTCGGCAACCACCAGAGCGGCATGCCGCTCGGCTGCCTCTAGAGTCCCACAGGCCAAAAAGGCCCAGGCCTGACGGCATCTCTCACCACTGGTGTCCACCAAAGGGTTTGAGGGTTACCGCTACGACAGGCACCGACAGCCCTGTGACCGCAGCTCCAAAAATGGAGCTTCAACAATGGAGGCACAGAACAAGGCCCACTCTGACTCAACTCAATGTCCCCCGCCTCCCGTGCTTAAAGCTCTCCTGGAGGTGGGAGTTAAAGCTCTGCCTAACAGGGGACTCCTCCAGGCACTCCCAGCAGACCCTCATAATTTGTTTGGGCCTGGTCTCACCGGCATCCTCCCCCACCATCTGAGCCAACTCACCACCAGGTAGTGGTCAGTGGAAAGCTCAGTAGCAAATGCTTACAACCAAATTGCTGATTATTGCAAGATACGCACAAAGTTATTACAGTTGCTTGTTTTGTTTAACATTGCTGTAATGCTATCAGTTTGTTATTTCTTGAGTGTGTAACTGCTGTTCTTTCTAAGGGCAAAGTAGACATAATGCATGACACAATTTCAATGGATGAACACAAATAAAATACAACAAATATGGCATTTGAATGTTGTATGATAAAGAATATAATTTGATCAATCGGATTATATTATTATCAACATGATTATGTATATGCTGTGGTAATGAAAAATATTTGGGTCCAGCAGCCAGATATGAGGGGTAACCTTTATAATGTTTGTTTAAATTTACACATAATTTTGGGGCTGAATGAATGTTTTTATTTTGTCATGAGTTTGATATCATTAAAATAGGTCACAAAAATTACACATACAAACATTTAAACCAGTTTTCCTTTTTACATTTTTGACTTGGACAGACACAATCAGTTCACAAAAATATCAATCATTATTCTTTGAGATATCATATGAAAGATAAAACCTTCACCTATTAAATCATGACCAATTACAGGAGAACTATACAATAGTTTAAAGTTCAACCCAAAAACCCTTCCTTTAAATGAGAAAATAGTAAGTTGCTTTGACTTTAGTCAATGATTTTCATTTGAATATTAGACTAATATTAGATTTCTATCTATGTTCTGGAAAATATCCCTGACATTTGTCTGTGAAATCCAGCACTTTTCAAAGACTATTTTTGTTGTTATATATCCATTATTTCATTGTGTGTGTTTCAGTTTAGGTTTTAGGCACAAATTATTCACAACAGTTGAAAAAATTCTGCATCAGGTAAAATCCTTCCAGCTTTGTAAAGTAAATGCCTTGGCTCCAATCACAAGCATGTAAAGTCAATTAATTTTGTAGATACCTTGCAGCCTTGCATATAAGGTACAACATGCTGTACAAACAAAACACACTAAAGTTTAAACCTAAGATTATTGCAGCTGTTAGTAATCTACAGCAAATTCCAGGAATTAAACAGTTGGAATGAAAGTTGAATTAAGTGGAGTACACTGACACCATAAATACATAGTCGCAAATCAACTCTATATTGTGTGCTAGTCTTCAGAAACGGAAAAACAACTTTTATTTGGTTTACAGTCAGAAACATTAACAAACAAAATCGTCATGAGACAATACTTGCACACCAACAACACTGCAACATTAAAACATTAACATAAGCAATAGAAATACAATAGTAAATGAGCTATTTAAAACACAACATGGTTTTGATACATGACATCACTGGCATTATATAGCAAGGGGCTTTATGGTTTGGTAAAAAGGGGCTCTAAAACACCATTAAGCAACATAAAAATGACTGACTAGTTTTTCCGCAGGCTACTTCATGCTGCCATCCCTTTTTTTCATTTTGCAATGCGCAGGTGTCAACAATATCCTAATTTTCTCCATAAACACTATAAACCTAATCTAAATGGACCTATATAACCCTAGCAACTTTGCAAATACTATACACAACAACATAAAGCAGACCAAGCAAGTGTCAACAAGCAAATTTCAGGTTAGAACAAACCCTAAAATCCTTTCATCTTGTACTTTAGTTGAAAACCATGCCAACTGTCCACATCTAGTCCAACTTGGGTGCTTAAGCTTTCAGTCAACCAAGAATCTGCAAAGTTACTTTGTGAAATAAAAACCTTTTAATCCTTCTGAGGAATGCAATTATACATAATTTTACTTATGTCTACAATAATAGGTAGAAGAAACAAAAACATCAACAAAGAGAACTGCACATGAAGGAAAATGTTGAGATTTCTTCTTCATTATGTGTCTTGCGGCTAGTTTCACAGCATGAGTGGGAGTGTGAGTGTATGTTGGATGTTTTCTGCGCAAGTGGACTTGTTTTGGTAAAAAGCATTTCTGAGATTGTTTTTTGGCCCAACTCTGTCATAATAACAAAAACTGGATCAAAACTGGATGCTCTACATCTCGTGGGTTAAGGCTTTATGCTGAGAAGTCACTCCATTAGTTTGCAGGGAACTGGACAACTCCTCAGGCAGACCATTCGTCTTTGGCTCAACAGTGGGAAGGTCAGATGGCTCAAAGCTGATGTTGGCGTTGGATTCATTTAAACGACGGACACGATACATCTCATAGTGGATGCTGCCTGTGATGTCTTTGATGTTCTGCATGTGTGTCCTGCACACATGATGAAAACTTTTAATGACAAAACTTATTTATTTGTTCTTCATTGCTATAACTTCTGCTCTCTACTTTCATTGGGTTTTTTTTGTTTTTGTTTTTTTTTCATGAGACTATTACCTGGATAAGCTTGCGTGGATAAAATAATTTCTGATGTAGCAGCTAGTCCATAATATCATTTGACATTAAAACCATGTCTATGCTTATACTATATGATGATGTTAAGCCAAAAGAAAAGATGAATTTTCACCTGATAAGAAGGTCTCGCAAGTGAGCAAACTCACAATGTGTGCTGTTTTCAACTGTAAAAAAAACAGAAAAAAAAAACAGTTATATAACACATTTTGTGGAAAATATAAGGTCCTTGATATTGTCATTTCTATGATCACCCTCATTTTGCTTTATCTTACAAATGCCACAACATGACAGCGTCTCAAGTATACAGAGGGTACAACTCTGACGTGCAGTCTAAAACAATTTCCTTTAGGTCAGATAACACAAGACTCATCTTTGGAGTAATCTAACAGGTATCACCTCTTTCTTACACTGGAGAAGTTTAGAGAGGCGTTTTTAGCAAACTCTCCATGACAAGTCACTAGTGCCTCCAGTAGAGCTAACATGTTTAAATCATAGATTATGTTGAAATTTTAAAACTAAATAAAGAAGTGTGCTGTTTATGTAAAACTTAATAATCCAGGGCAGGAAATTAAATAACTGCCCTGTGGGTGCTGATTAGTGGCATCAAGGCGAAAGAGCTACACTAGCTTGTACTGAGCTGGATTATTAGTATCTGAACTCCGTGCATGCATTTTAATCTATTTTTGGTACCTAATTTGTCACATCTGTGTATTCATACTGTAATAAATGCAACGGCAAACACAAAGTCTTTTTTTATTTTATCTATGAGATTAATTCACTGATATCATAAGGGCTTTCTGCTAAAAGGAGGAAACCGAATCTGGCACTAGTGACAAGAAATGCTATGCTATTTCATATACATAAGGATTTATGTGTAGTACCCTCAATGGTGCCCCACTTGGTTTTTCTTCCAAGGATTCGCTTCCCGTTCACCTGGTACTCCTGGTCACTGCCCACCACTGCAAAGGGTATCATCTCCTGATGGGAGCCAGATAAATATTCAGATGAGACCTATATATATATATATATAGGTCTCATCTCAATATTACTCTATATGATCAGACAGACAGACAGACAGACAGACAGACAGACAGACAGACAGACAG